GAGGTCAGATGGCTCAGATGAACCTGATGACCTCTTGTACTCTCTTTCACTGTAGGTTCTAGAATAAAATCAGCTTTATGCCAAATAAACATAGGATGTAGGCAAATATCTGCAAAGGGGTCACTAACAAATTCTAAAGGGACTAGGCCAGAATGTCAGGCTGACCTAGTAGACAAAATAGGAGGTTCATGCTCAACTAGAGGGGAAAGTTTCCACTCAGTGTCCAGAGGTGGTTGCTATAAATGAATACCAGAATGCGAAGACCATCCCATGATCCTACTGCAATTCATTATCAACTTAAGCTGCAAAGGTGGGTTTCCATACTGTAGAGGAAAAACTAAACATTTCTGACATGGAAGCAATCTAGTCTGCCTGTGGGTTACCTATAATATACATTGTCTTCCTCATTTTACCCAAAGCACAAAGTAGAGTTCATTTTTAGTCTAAAATTGTGGCATGTCATTATACTGGAAAGCTCTATTGCTTAATGTTTTTCTTTCTTTGCCTGGGTGCTATGGTATTCTCCAAAGCCATAGCAGTGGAGGCCAGAATGAACATGGCCAATTCCCTTGTTCTATAACTTCTCTAAGCCTGTCAAATCCACAGATTTTGACCAACTTGTTTTGAAGGACTCCTCTTTCCTATCTTCACCCTACCCTATCCCCCCAAATTCTCCACTTTTTAAGATGCTCTCTCTCCCAGAACACCTACCACCACAACTTTATGGAGGTGTCAGAGCATGATTAAGAGAGCCCCTTTGCCTGGATGTTGCCCATCTGAAACTCAAGCCCCTAGTGTGAGAAACAGAGGCCTAAGCTGACTTCCTTCAAGCCTAGCTTGTGTCTTTTAACCTGGTCAGCATTAAATCAGATACTTTGGGGGATAACAGCAACTTGGCACTGAAGGAAAGCTCTCTGACCATATCCTTGACTGAGGCAGAAACCTATTCTCTGTGAACTATTTATTTAGAGGCAGAATAGCTCAGATGTGGCTTCAGGTTGGTCAGGAGTCTTGGTTCTCTGTCCAGGTTCACAGATGAAAACTAAGAAATAAAAGGACCTCAAGCAATTTTCCGTATCCCAGTGAGTGGTGGTGGCTCAACTGGGATTTAGGGCCAAGAGCCTTCTTACTGCCAGTCCAGCTCCCTAACCACCAGAGTACATAGTCCATGTTTAATGTACACTCAGCAAACCTCAAGTTCCAGGCTGAAGAAACAGATTTTCCAAAAACAAAGCTCTCTTTATGAACAATTCAGCAAAAATTCTCTTTCCAGCTGTGAGTTGGGATGCATGTTGCAAATGTTGGTGTTAATTAAAAACATCCACCTTCTATGGTTTCAACAACAAGAATAAAGTACTGTGTAGGTTGTGTTTCTAAGCATCCTTCTCCAAATCACTTATAAATATAATTTTATGACATGGGCTGCTGAGGGTTCTGATAGCTATTATCACTCCCAATATTCAGATACCATTGCCAAGGTCAACAAGTTAGATGCAATGGGCCCAAAGTGGCACAGAGCGACCTCAACAACAGACAGAGCAACAAGAATACAGTTCCAAGTCCTGAGCATCCAGTAATAGAGGTCTAACTTTATGTTAATATCAGGAAATGTACCTAGTTAAAATCAAAATGTTTATCTGTTGAATCATTAAAATGCTCTTCACATGGCTCTTAGTGCTTCAGACATGAATGAAATGCAACAGGACAAGGCCATAGACAGTACACAAAGAATGATACCATATATTTAATAATTGGAATGCTAGCTGACTTCCCTCTATTCCTATTAAAGTTCTCACTTTATTGTGAAATCTTTCTCTAAGATGGTCTTGAACTAGTGAGGTCAGAAAGAGTGAACCACATTCCTTCTTGTACTCGTCTCTGTTGGTTAATTTGCCCTGCTTTAATATGCGAACCAGACAGGAAAGAATCAAGCCAAACCCACATCATTATGAATGAATTTGTTTTTAATCTCACACAGTTTAAAATACAATATGAAATCAGACTACAGTATATAAAAAACTCTCCAGCAAAATGATGTGCCAGCATCAGCTACTAAAATTAACAAACAAAAAACTCCCCATAAGAATTTTTTTTGTATTTAAAAAAAGAAACATATAGACACTTATATCGCTACATCTCTAAGCTACCTCAGTTCTGATTTTTAAAAGCACCTGCTTTTCCTTTTATTTTCATCTTGCTTTTAACTTTTCAGCTTTTAAAAAATATAAATTATATGAAAATACAAGTTGGAAAATAGTCAAACACAATATAACATCTTTTTCACCCCTATATTCTCAGCTTAAAAAAAAAAAGTATTCTTAAAAAAGTTTAATAACTGAGGCAGTATTCCTGATAATTACCATTTTAATATATATATTTTATATATGTATATGTATACATATATTTATTGTTCCTTGAAACTTCTTTGGAATGTATGTAAGAGTTCAACAAATTTATATAGACCCCAACAAAGAAAGCAGCATGCACAGCATGACTAGAATAGAGAAGGTGTATTTTTCACCATGAAGGTTAGGCAGGTTAATGCTCTAAAACCCAGAGTGTTGACCTCCAAAGTGAGGATAAGCCCATCTGCTCTCTGAATGTTCCCTCCAATCCCCATAGACACAATCAGGACTATATAGTGGGCAGTCCTTCCCCTGAATGGAGACAGGAACAAAAATGACTCTGACCCCAAAGCCAAAACCGACATCGGTTAAGGCATCTCCAGGACAATAAGGGTTTACCCAGTTAAACCAGATTTGCTCATCCTTCCTCTGAAGTTAACATGTGTTTTGAAAAAGCATAAATGCAACAATTCTGCTACATTTCCAGTGTATAAACCACCCACCACGCTTCCTAGGATGGTCTCTGGCCTTTAGACAGAGGGGAAAAAAAGCATCTGGCCAGATGAACAAAGCTGTCTCTTAACTAATACACTATCTACAAATACTGAAAATGGTGGACCTAGAGAGAAAGGGAATCTTAAAACACAAGTGGGATCAGGAGCACGAGGAGGCACTTTCTTATCTTTTATCTGCTATGGAGTTGCTGGAATTAGACATACTAACGGGAGTTTTCAGCATAAATTTAATAGGAATGGTTGATGAGTTGAGAAAGTGATCTTATGTCTGGCTGCAAACAGCAGGCAATGATCTATGCCTGACCATGATTCTATTTTCACCCATTACTGAAATGTGAAAAGATTTAACTAAGAAACTCAGGTATTATCTCAACTGCAGTTCTATATGTCTGCAAACACACACACACACACACACACACACACACACACACACTTTACCAGTGCCCAACAATGATCACACAATCAAAAAGAAAACAATGTAGTCCAAGCAGTTCCACCTAACACTCCCTGAGCAGCTCCTAAAATATTGTGAGAGCTTTATTAAGGCACCTGCATCTGAAAGAAGATCAAAATAGACAGCTGGGATAATTCTGCCTTTGCTTTTCATGTGGCCTCTCCAGTCTATTAGTATGAAGGCACTAATAGCTGTGTTCCTGATAACTCAGGGTCTGCAAGAGAACCTGGGAGGAAACCATAAATGTCCTTAAAGATATGCTAGAAGGTAGGTAGTACTTCCAGTTTCTCATCTAAAGTTCACAAAGGGCTAGCCTTGAGAAGCCCGTCTTAAATGCTTCTTCACCTCTCTCACTGAAATTTATGAGAGTCTTCCAGCTTCCATCATGTTACTAGTGTGGCATCTATATATGGTCAGGTGGATTCTAATCATATTAGGCACTTCTCACTAATTATATGCTGGTTTCCCAAAAAATAATCTAATTTCAGATTAGATTATTATTTGCTTTTAGATTATTATTGATAATACCCAGCTGACTGGCTCAGTTGATCATGTTTAAACTGTGGGGCTATGAACAACATATTCAAATGTCATGGACCATCTTATTTTCATCACTCAAGTTCCTTTCCTTATGCTTCCTTTGCCTTCAAGCCATTCCTCTCCTACAATTATTACTCGTTACTTCCCCTGTGCCGAGATAATAGATCTAAGCACCAGGCCCTAATATCATCTGTGCTATTCGTTCTATATAAAGTCTCACCTAACCTTCCAAATCTCATACATCTTAAATTCTTAAGAAATGCCTTGATTTCTCCTAAAGACAGTCAAATCACATTTTACTTATTATATGCTCTCTTTATTTCCACTGCTTCTTCTAAAACCCAGCTAGCCTAAATGATTGTATTAGAAACTTCAACTCATGTCAAGTCTGCAATTACTCATTCACTCATCAATCCAAAAGCTGTACATTTCTCTCTACTAAATAAAGGAGGAGGGGAAGCAACAAGTGTGAGACATTGGGAGAACAAGATATGAGGGGTAAAGTGTGTGGGTTTGGAACTACCTGCACTCTGGACTTATTTCTGAAGACCTGAGGGCTAGTGTCCATGCACACATTTATTCCAAGTCATATATTTTACATGTGTCAACCAGTTAAGTACCAAGTCAACTTTCTTCCTTTGATTTCCTTCCCACCACTTCAACAGCACTCCTACATTTACTGTAGTCCAAAACCAGGGCTGCAAAATACATTCAGTTTAAAGACTTAAAGCTTCTCTGCTGAACATTAAGTCCAAACCCCAAGAATCCGCTAATAACAAATAAGTTAAGGGGCATGATGATAATTTTTTTAAATTGTAGTTAAAATTCCCATGCACAGTTCCCTTATACACAAATCAGCATTAGTTCTTCTTTCATACACAGGTCTCACATGAATTGGGGATCCCAGATCTCAACGACAGCACTTTGCTTTTCCAGTGGGGTCTATATAAACAGTTTTCTTTCACTGTGACAGAATCCTCAGCCGGTAAATAAACACAAACTTGCATGATACTGCAATACTGAGACCACCTTAGAGCTTAAGACGATTTTTAAGTAAAAAATACTGGCACAAAATTTAATAAAATAAACGTCAACACAAAAACAGTTTTGGCCCCTCCCCACTGAAGTCCATCTTTGTTTCAAAAGTAAAGTGAAAGGTAAATAGTTCTTAGGTTTTGTGCATCCCCCAAACAAAAGGTTTGATCCTATCTCCCTTTTTTGCCCTCCCAGACCTAAAAACAAAAGCAAATTAATTGCCCTTCAAAGTCGCATGACTCCCAACGTGTCAATTTCTTTTGCTAATGGGTCCATAACTTAAGACACATTTTTTCATGGATGACTTTTAAAAATGATTGGACACGTTAATCTCTTCCTCCCTTAAACCACAGTCTTTATGCTGCTAAGAAGACCCTTCTCTCTATCTCCTGTAAATTTGCTCCAGAATTTCTTGTCCCACCCACCTGAAAAGTCCTGGACTTCCTTTTCCAACCGTGCACATTGATTATAGCTGCAGCTCACTTAGCCCCCACCCCTGAATGTAAAAAATGAGTTCCGGAAAATTAAAAATAGAATAACAATTAAAAATCAAGAGTCTGACTGACGCGGCTGTTCTGTGAAATGTCTTGGCAAAGTGTCCTAGACTGCTTCTGTGTCCATCACTCATCAGCGTCGGGTTTGACATCCAGCATGGCATGGAGCTCCTCAGGCGTGTACCCCAGCAGGCTCTGCAGGTCACACACAAAACGGTACACATAGCGCTTCCCGGCTGTCTTGTGGATGATGTTCTTGTCGTAATAGTAGCGTAAGCCACGGCTCAGTTTCTCATAATTCATCTTCGGCTTGTTTTTCCTCTTTCCCCATCTCCTGGCCACCTGAAATAAAAATAAATAAAGTAAATTCAATTAAAAAGGAAGGGAGGATAAAAAATCTATAGCACACTTCAAGTATATGTGTTTATGTGCATATACTCATTCATGGTGACACATGACATAGGATGGTTAGAGTGTCATGTTTTTCTGACCAATCTTTTTTTAATATTATTATTGTTATTTGGGTGAAAGTTTACAGAGCAAATTCACTTTCCATACAGTAGTTCACATATACTTTGTCTCATGACATTGACTACAATTTACCACAATGCAACAGCTGCCCTCCTACTTCCTCCCCATAGTTATCTCTTCCCTGTGTCCTTCCCTTCATCCACTCACTCCTACCCCCTGAGCTGTCTCCTTGTGCATACACAGCTCTTCTATTCTCCCATGATTGTTCTCTCCAAGGAGTATATCCACATAGTGTAAATGTTCACCTCATATGCCTGTTTTCTGACCAATACTGTATGAATTCTATTTTTCAAGAGTTGAGCAAGCATAGTGGTCAAGTGGATTCTTTAAGTTGATGGTAACACAGTGATCCTGCACTTCTATATAATGAAGATAAAGTGTTTGATTTTTTTTCTGAGGGGGGGGGAATAAAAATCAATAATATACATTCTCCTTTCTGCTCACTTCATGAGGCAAATGTCCTTGACTTGAAAGCATGTGAGGGAGTAGAATGAGTTGCAATTACACCTGCCTTTCATCGACAAGAAGTAATTTGTCTGGACCACGGCAAAATAACTTCTCATGTATGTCAGAACAGAGATGTTATCTCCCATGTTCTTTGTATTTTATCCTCAAAATTGGACATGGCACAGAGCAACCACTCAATAAAAATTTGTGGAATGAAAGAAGGAATTAGTGAACAAGTGGTACCAATCTCCCAAGGCCTCTTGAACAGTCTGGCCCTTTCAAATTCACAGAGCCATAGGGCGGGGAAGAGGTGGCAACTCCTAATTAGGAAGGGCCTACTGTATGCCAGGTACTTTCCCTCTAGTTAATCTTGGAAAATAAATGGCTAATGTAGTTACTATCTCTGTTTTCCAAGTGAGGACTCTGAGGCTCACACAGGTTATATAACTTGCTTAAGGTCACACAGTAGCATGTGACAGAGCTGGGGACTGAAGCCTAGAAAATGTCATCCAGGCCCACATGGCCCCCTCCCAGGGTTCTCTCTCATCTTTCCTCAACCCAGTCCTCACAAGTCACTCCTTTCTTACCTCATCTGGGTCAGAAAGCTTGAACTCCCAGCCATCTCCCGTCCAGCTGATAAAAGACTGACAGGATTTATCAGTGAGTAATTCCAGAAGAAACTGCCACAGCTGGATTGGTCCACTGCCTGGAAACACAAGTGAGTGTGAATCATTACACCAGATGCCCAGCACACTCAGCAACTAATCTAATTGTGCAGCACATCCTCTCCCCGTCCTTGCTCAGTCCATCTAACCAGGGGAAACTGAGAGCAAAACATAATACAACTGTTGTAGGATATGCCACTGGAACAGACAAGAGAGGTGAAGTACTTCTTAACCTCCCCCCAAAAAAAGTGTTTAAGACAATGTATCAATTGCCTTGTTTTGACTGACTTATGAGTCTTTTTCTATTGCTAAGCAAAATCTATGGAAAAAATATACTGTGTCCATCCTTTGAGATATTCTAAGACAAAATACCTTTCGTACTTTCAAAAATCAAGTCATTATTTCTACCATAAGAAGTGAGAAAGGTGTTTGCTAAGGAACATCTTTGTGAGTTCCCAGCAGAAGTCAAAGCTGATAAACATTGCTTTACAGTTGGGAGGCTTGGCCCTGATTTACAAGGGAGGAAGATCACAGTTCTCTCCTCAAATAGCCTCATAAGAAATTAGAAGCTGGATGTCCTTTCAGAATTTAGATGAGTATTACTCGTCCTCCCACCTTTCCCATGCCATTGATAGGCAAACACCCAAACTAAGAAAGTAAAGCACCACCCAGGAAATTCTCAGAGGTTAGAGGAAGACTGTCTCAGAAATTCTACACAGACAAAGTATATTCTTACTTACACACACACACACACCATTCTCTTGTTTCAGTCATCAATACTACCAAGATCTTAGCTGAACAAGCCTGGTATACCTGAAAATCGACATATCTATGCTGAAGGACTGATGCCACATAGCTGTCCTTTTATGATAACTTTATATCTAGAAATGTTATCACTGCCAGTTATTCCTACCAATTTGTAACTATGGCTGAAGAGACAAATATGTGTCCATAGACCCTGCTTCTCATTACATGTTGACACTTTGCCTTGTGACACCATCTCAGAAACAATGTGGGCAGAGTGAGACTGTCCTGGGAAAGACTGAGTACATGTAAATAAATGAAGTCCCAGTGCTCTGCTCATACTGGAAAACTTGACTCTCAAGTCCTAACCCTGAGACTGACTTTCAAATTTGCCCTATCTAAAGAAAACAGAGATTTAACAGAAAACAGTTCTAGATTGATTCTCAATCGGAAATCTGAAAAAGAAATGCTCTTGACAATATATGCGACAGCATTTATTATATTTTATACTTCTAACAAAGCATGTTTACAAATATCATTTTTCTTGTTCCTAAAATCTACTACCTATACCCTTCTGGTGTCTACCATTCATTTGCCAGTTTGTTGTATTGTGGTGACTTGCACTTTGCTATAAGGCTGGAGGTTATGCCACTGGTATTTCAAATACCTGCAGGGTCACCCATGGTGGGCAGGTTTCAGCAGAGTTTCCAGACTAAGACAGACTAGGAAGAAGGATGGGGCCATCCACTTCTGAAGAAATTGGCCAATGAAAACCTTATGAATAGCAGTGAAACACTGTCTGATACATTACTGGATGACGAGGGAGTATTCATTCTGTTGTACACAGGATCACTATGAGTTGGAGCTAACTTGAACAGCACCTAATAACAACAACCCCTCTGGTGTAGGGTAAACATAGTGGCCTAACTATGTCTATCCCATTGGTACAGAAATAGGTGCTCAGAAAAATGATGTGACTTTGCTCCAAGATACAGTTAGCAGATGGTAGTGCCAAATCTAGTATCTTCCGACCCCACAGTCCCAGAGCAACCTCCACCAATGACATAGGAGAAAGTAGCAGAAGATAAGCAGAGAGAGGTTGCTTTAAGACCCCTGGAAGAGAAAAATACTACAAAGGGCCGTGATTTACTGTGCATCGACTATGCACCAGACATCGTCCCTGATGTTTTTTTGTTACCAGCTCATCTATTCCCCACGTACCTCTATGAGGGAGACACTATTGGTAAACATTTATTAGTGGATGCTCTGGACTAGGAACAGTATTATTATTCCTCCTGATGCTGAGGTTGCTCTGTGCCATTTTGGGCCCATTGCATCTATCTTGTTGACTTCAACATCTGCATCTGAATACTGGGAGTGATAATATTTACCAGAACCCTCAGCAGCCATGTCATGAAATTATATTTATAAATACTTTGGAGAAGGGTGCTGGCTGCAGTGATCTAAAGGATAAAAGGACCTGAATTGAAAAAATATCTTATCATCTCTACTTCTTCTTGGACTACCAAAGGTTCTCCTAACCCTAGTCTCAGATTTCACTTCCACTGTGATATTCCAGGCTATTTAATCACACCCCTTGTCTTAGCTGTTAGGTTATGTTGCTTCATTATTTCTCTCTCAAACTATTTAATTTAAAACCTCTCTCATACTACTTATTTTAAAATACTTTTGGGTAGAAGAGTACTAATTATACCAAACTGAGGAAAGAGATAGAAGGATGAGGGTCCTTCTACCCAGGGAGAGCCAAGAGATCAAAAATTTCAGAGACCAAAAGGCCAAGCCAAGCCAGCTGCCACAGAGTCAACATCAAGTCACAGCAACTCCATGTGTGTTAGAGTAAAAATGCACTACACAGGCTTTTCATACCTCTGACCTTTCAGAAGCAGAACACCAAGTCCTTCTTCCAAGGTGCCTCTGGGTGATTCGAACCACCAACCTTCTGGTTAAGTGTTTGTGAAACCCAGGGTCTGTGAATTCCTGGAAAGGCAGGCTCAAAAAGGTAGTACACCACAGTTCCTGCCCTTAAGACTCAGCAGCTATAAACCAGAGGACACTTGAATTCATGTCACTGGCACCAGCTCATAAAGGAAGAAACCTCAGAATTATTCCTGCCAGTGCCATTCCCAAATTGAAATGCCAGAGTCACAGATTTTATCTGTCTGCTCCAGACCTTTCTCTGTACATATCTGACCCCATGTCCGTGTATACAAATTGGGGGATGAGGTAGGGAAGGCCAGGGCACAGCGAGCAAGTCCTTATTATGGGTTTTTATTTTTTTCATTGCAAGTTTTCCTTCGTTCTAAAGGACCATAAAAACGTTACATCTGGGAACCTGACACTCAGGCCTTGGGTGCTGTGCTCTCTACTTTTTCCTATTTATACTAAAGGAAGGAGGAAGGTAAATAGGAAAATCAGATGTTTAAAGAAAGCATATGAACTTGAACAAGGAGAAACATCTCTGGATAGCTTCACAACAAGGAAGTAAAAGATGTGGGCGGTCAGCTCAAGCTCCCCTCCCCCATTTCCCCCGCAGAGAAGGAATTCCCTCAGCCCACCCAGGGCCAACTGGCTGCTCAGTGTCTCCCCTGGGTGTGCAGGAAGTCACTTCACACTCTGTAGAAAGCCCTTGTTGCTCTGTAAAAAGCAGACCCCAAGACTCCTCCCAAAGGTGCCACTCTACCACCCTGTCACTGATTCCTAAACAGCCCTTGCTACACAAAGAGGAAGAACACAGGATTACTCTCCCAAACAGTGATGCTGGGTCAGCACAGGAATGCTGGCTCTGGGCGGGCTCCATTCCTGGCTGCACTAGTGGGTAGTTGAACCCAGGAGCCTGTTTCCACAGGGTGTTACCCTCACTTCAGGTTGGGGAAAGAAAACTAGGGCCACATGGAGATCCATGGTTAAAATCATGCTTGGCTACACAGATCTAAAACAACATGCAAACCTAGGCACATCAAAAGTTCTTACTCCCCAGACTTGTCAAAACAATGGATGAGTCCAGTGTCCCCAGTTACAAACTCTCCCAAAGATGTCCATGTAGCACTGCTGAGTGAAGGTCTGTCCAAAGCCCCAGGACCCCATCCTTTGACTTTGTTCCAATATAACCTAAAATTGTAAAGACTCCGCCTACACTCTTCTAACATCTCCCCCTTTCCTTTCCTCCCCGCACAGCCCCATCTACTCACCCATCCAACTAGACTGTTTCCAGTGACCTTTGTCCTAGGGAGTAGAGAAGGGTACTAAGAATAGAGCCAGTCATGGAAAGAGGAGCTCACATGCTAAATGTGGCTCACAATGGTATCCTTGTCTGGGGTCCCCAGGCACTCAACAGTGTCCTTCACCATGCCGCCCCAGAGTGTCACACATCAGGAATCCAGTGGCATCACTGGGAAACTATGCTTCTCAAGTCAGGGCTCAGAGCCACAGCAACAGAGGGGTCCCTGTTAGAAGGCTCTCTCCAAAGAAGGGTGGGAGGAAAGGCACCACATACTCACACCCCACCTTGCTGAGTCCCACCCCCTACAGTCTGCCCCCTCAATGCTCTCCCCTATGCCACAAAGAGGGATTTGCCCCCACTGATTTGTTCTTCTCTGCTTCCATACAACAGTAAAAGACCTGACTTGAAGAACATGAGTCAGTCTCAGAAGAAATGGCAAGTAGGTACCTGGAAAGATGGAGGCCAGCAGAGCAAATCTCACTAAGGACATATCACTCCAGGGGACCCTTAAGGCAACTCAAATCTAACACTGCAATCTCATTTTATTAAGAAGGCAATGGGTCAAGCAAATATCTACTCATTCTGGTCATGTTGTAAATCCCTTCTTCTGGCCTAGGAACAGGAAGCCCAACCAGGATCTTGATGATTGTTTATTTAAAAATCTGCTTTTTTGGTCCCTTACCCTAAGTCTGGAGTTTCTGGGTGCTGCAAATGGTTAACGAGCTCAGCTGCTAACCAAAAAGTTGGAGGTTTGAGTCTACTCAGCAACACCTTGGAAGAAAGGCCTGGCAATCTACTTCTGAAAAAAATCAGTCACTAAAAACCTTATGGAATACAGTTCCACTCTGACACATATATGGTTGCCAGGAGTCAGAGTAAACTCCAAAGCAACTTACTTGTTTTTTGCTTTACTCCAAGGCTTAGAAGTGAGCAATGGAGCTCTGGTAGCATAGTGCCTCAGGCACTTGACTGCTAACCAGAAGGCTGTTGGTTCAAAACCACCAACCACTCCTAGGAAGGAAGATTGGGCGATCTACTTCCATAGTAATGCCACCT